TGAACCCTCAACCATTGGTTTGCAAGTCCACACCTTACCAACACACTTAACCAAGTAACATTTAAGCAAAGAAGCGGATTAAACTCTTTTTACTTCTGTAAACAAACCAAAAAGAAAATAGAAAGACAAAACACTGGATGAGTCTGTGAGACTGAAGCCACGACTGACAGGGAGCAACACCGACAATGACCAGACACAGACTGAGGGAACAAACAAGTATATATGCACACATGGGTTAACGAGCTGGGCGGGAGCAACACAGGTGACTGGGATCAGGTTAACGAGGGAGGCAGAGAGACAACAGGAAAACAGAGAGAACACTTAGACAAGCAGACATGGGGCAGAGTGATTAACCAAGAATGCACAAGTACGACACAGGGCTGAGATGTAGAGCGAAACAGAACCAGTAAATGAACAAGGGAATATACAAGACTAAACAGGGAACACAAGACCAGGAGTAAACACAAAAGATATCAACTAATGTACAGGACTAGGAACTAACTAAACAAGACTACACAGAGAGCCACAGAACCAAAAACAGACATAAACAGGAAAGACATGAACACAATATGGTTATTGTGTTCATGTCTTTCCTAACAATTATTATCTACAAAGTAGAATTACATAATATGTACTTCATATGTATTATACAAAAGCCATAAGTGTCATGCTCTCTCCTTTAATTCTAATCTGCTGGAAAGTATTGCAGGAATGTTAGGTTGTTTGTTTATCTTCTGCTTTGATGCTTCTAAGTCTATTTTGGGACTCAAGTTGTGTTTTTGTTTTGTTCCATGCTGTATTCAGTACACATTTTGTTCTTTGATGCAGGTCTGTTGTTCCTCATTTATCAGATCAATAGAAGCCACGTTTCCATGTAATTTCCATGTGAATTTTAAGCGGAAATGTCGCAAAATAAAAAATAGCTGGTTCAGAGCGAATAAATGAGCATAACAGAGACTCTAAAACACACTTCATTTTAGTCATTTGTCAACAATGAATATGAATGTGAAACAATGAAAATGTTATATATTTATATAGTTTTATTATTACAGTTTTATTATATATCATACAGAGTTGTATGATACATTGTATAGAGATACAGAGAGATTATTTATCCAGCTGTTATTGGTTCATCACAGAACTATACTAAAATGTGAGAGAGAAATGTTTCTTTTCATTATGTTTTAAAGTTTTTACTATTTCCATTTTATTCACAAAAAGTGTACGTACGGCCAAAAGCCCCAAAAATATTCAGACTTGCGTAGCCTACGCACATTTGTGAGCAAATTCTCTTTAATGTTGCGCATGTGAGAGAGCTCCATGTCTGACCCTTCAAACGCCCACAGTTATATATATGATCAGTGAATAAATGGTCACTGAAACACCCCTCATTAATATTAATGATAATTAACTAATTAACACACACACACACACACAAGATGGGATAACACAAGTACTAATTTGGAGTCCCTCATTTGAAAAGAGAATAAATCAAATGCGATCCACTTGTGCTACACAAACAGCCCACTCACTTAACGAGGTTTGCGATGAGTTAAAAGAAATATGACTTGTTGCAAATGACAATAAAGCAGTGTTATTTTTCCATAATGTGTTTTTACAAGCGGTGCATCACATCCACACGCTGGCGCACAGTGATAACAATACATGAAACTATGCATTCTTATTTGCTTCTGACGCATTGAAAACGGCATCAATTTAAATATAATTTGTCCTCCTGTTCACCTTATTTATGAGAATAAATTGCACTGTATGCAAGTATTAATTAATATGAACCTCAATTTCAAAACCTCAGAGTTTCAAAACTTTTTTTCACACATTCACACACCAGTTTTCAGATCACCATTTACAAGGTTTCAAACCTCGAAAAAAAACTAATACACTGGGAGAACACTGACAAATTTGAAAGTCTGAAAAATAGTTTTTTTTTTGAAAGATTTTGAGCTTTCAAACAATTTGTTTCAACCTTTCAGAACTTTATTTTCAGTTTTGAATCATGTCAGGATATTAATCCCATAGAGATGCAGTACAGACAAAACACCACCAGGTGGTAGACCAATCTAAACACAAGCCGGAGGAGGGTGGTGACAAGGGGCGGGGCTGCAGAGGAGGGCGGGACTGAGCAGAAAACAGACAGCACGGAGAGGAGGAGAGAAGACGAAAAGGTGGAGGTGAGAGTGAGAGTGAGCACATTAAAAGAAAAAAAAGTCCTGCAGGAAAGTGACGCTAAATGCTCAGATAATATCATAACTGATTAATGTCAGCAACACTTGATCTGTTCGGTTGCTTTGCACTATTCTGGATGTTTTTGAATGTAGAGGCCTAATAAAACTACTGTGTGCAATCATGAGATATCTTAACACTGACGTCACTGTTGAGCATTGAAGTCCATTTATACACTGTGGCTCCTCTGATCTGTGACAGTGTAAATACAAAATAATGTAGGTTGTTAATGTGCAGATGTTTGTCCAACAGTTACTGAGAGAAGAAACACACTGAGACCAAATAATAGTTCTGCTGTGCTGGCAGAGGAAGTTCATTGTGCATCTTTATTGTTATTAGGACAGGACAGACGTGAAAATACAAATTATAAACTCTAAAAGCAACTGAAAGCTGATCCAGCTGGGATCCAGCTGTGCGATCGCCATCAGAAACAGACGTGGCATCAGAAGAAAGAACGTCTCATGTCTCTAAACAACATGTTTCCTCTCTCCTCACGTCTTCAGTGGGACGGACTGAGAGACAAGGAAAAGGAGTGTGTGTTGCGGTGCTACTGTACCAATAACTATATTTTTTAACAAATAAAATAATAAAATTCATCACAGTCTAAGAGGTGTAACATTAAACATGTTTGGTGTCATAGAACAGCGTACTGTATATTTGCTTATATTCTCCCCAGGAGACGTCATGGTCAAACTGTAATTATCACTTCAATCTTCACTTCTATTAGAAGCACATTAGGAAGAGATCTCTTAATGTCCAGTATGAACAGGAGGATTACAGCCTTATTATTCTTATTCTTAATCTTATTATTACAGCAGGTAAAACCTGTTTCAATGGTAACAACAGAACCTGACTGCTGCTTGAAAAACTGTGACCAAGTTGATCTCTTCGTCATGTCGCTGTTTCTGAGTGTCATGAAAACCAGGACCTGATGATTTATATGATGTTTGATGTTTAAAAGTCTTAATTCAGATAGAAGAAACTTTACAGACTAAATCTTCTCAGTTCATTGACTGCAGAATCAACACTATTCAACACACAAACAGAGACTCTGTACTGAAGCTGAATGACACTCATAATGTTTAGAGTCTGCGGTTGTGGTTTTGATTATTTTTATCTATTTGCACTGAAGAGAGGTGTGTATCGGTTAGCCACAGCCAAACCAGAAAACGTCACATTTTCCATCCAACAGCTTTGTGAAACCCACAGAACCACAGGAGAAAAACAAGAACCAGACCAGACAAGTTTAGGGAGAGTCCAAAAACATGAGTGAGATATAAATAAAAGTAAAGTTAGTTATTACATTAACAACAAAACAACATGACTCTGTTCTGTAGAAATAAAATTAAACTACAACAAATGTTTAAACATTTTTTCTTTAACAGTGAAACATAATAAGTGGATGTGCTGAGGTGTGAGGGGCTCTGGGGACCAGTTCCAGGCCAGCTGGACATCAGTGGTTGGACTGGTGTGAAGGTGTGAAGGTCTACCTCAGTGAAGAGTAGACAACCTCTGGCTCTGCTGGAAACTCTGAATACACAAACACAAACAGTTCAAACAACATGAGAAACTGTTGGAGACAAAGAAACTCCGTCACCAGACAACAACTCTGCTTCACTCAGTTCTCAGGAACTAACAAGAGTTTCAAACTAGTCTTTCACTGAATCAGGTCGCACCAGTTTAACTTAAGAAATGTCCCAGCTAGTAAAAACTTGATTGTGATCTGAATCTGTGGCTAGGAAACATCTGTAGTGCCGTCCAATCAGGAGCAATCAGCTATGAAAACAGGAAGTCACAAGCTGAAAAAATAACATTTTCAGATTAAGCTAAGCTAACAAGCATTATAATAGTATTTATTAAATTGTTTATTGTGAAATGTAATTTAAACCCAGTTCCCATCGTTATTAGACAGACATTGTCATAAATATTACATCTTTTACGCTTCAGACTAAAGGAGTCTTATGTAACATGCTACCAACGTCATCATGCTGATCTATCTAAATCTTTAATCCTACTGATACATAGATTAGACTCTCATGGGTTACACTAGAAAAGTATTTTGATTCAACACATATTTAAACATTGACAGGCTTTTGATCACACTTTCTACAGCACTGTTAAAAACATTCCACCTTATTGAGGCTAACTTGCAGTCGGCCAGCAGACTGTGGATCCTGCCAGTTGCACTGGTGGCCTTGGTAATTTGCGGCCATGAATTTGGGGGACAGAGCTTCTGAGGGAGCACCAAAAGAAGGGGTGTTTGTGTTTGGCAACTGAGTTCAAAAATCAACAATCTCTCTGCAGAATCGATAGTATCCCTTTTAATGTTAGAATGTGTTTTTCCCTTACTCTGGTTATGTGTTACATATCATATTTATTTAAGCAATAATAGCTAATGTCTGCCTGTTTCCATGGTGAACGACATGCCAGGATTCATAACCATTTTGGAGAAACTACCCCAAAAAGTGAATCTGCTAAATTATACAAAATGCCTCAATATTTTAAATAAGACCACTTGCTAATAGATAAACAACCCTCCTGTCCTGACTGGTTTTTAGTCCGTCTGACCTTCTTGTTACCCACATCTCTTTAAAGGAATAGTTCAGCTTTTTGGGAAATTCTCTAGGACTGAGGTGAGAAGATAGATCTGGAGTCAGGTTGTGGTTAGCTTAGCTTAGCATACAGACTGGGATCAGGGGGAAACAGCTAGCCTGGCTCTGTCCAAAGTTCACACATAAAGAGCAGCTGTACCTCTCGTCTTGTGTGGTCTGATGACTATTTGTCCATAACTGACGTCTCCTGCTCCTCTCACTGCTGAGTAGACTGCAACTGGTTCACTCTCTGGAAAATAAAATACATACTAATTACATAACTGCGGGTACTACAGCTGTGACTAGTGCTGAGTATATTTACTGGTGTTAGCACTACTACTTGTACAGCAACACACAATAATACTACTGCTATAGAAAGAAGTTTATTGTTTTTCATGTAGAATTACAATAAGTTTTATAATAGACTATAAACGGCAGCAGGTTTAAAAGTTATCTTTTTCTTAACACCACAGATGTGAAAGGTGAAAGACCAAATATAACTGAAGAGTATTTATCTGAAACGGGGAACTAGATGACCACAAAACAACACATTTCAGCTCAAGGCACAAAATATACAGACACATCACCATCAGCTAAAGCAGACCACACTGTAGTGAGAAACAACACCAGCTTCACACTACAGTTCACTGGAGTCAAAAGGAGGAAGTTGATTGTGGTTTGATGTGCAGAGTGGAAAAAAAAGATGCAGACGCACATCATCTCCCTTTAAAAATAAGGTTCGCTTGTACCTTGGCGCATTGCTATTCAAATGGCGGATGAATGGCGCATTATTGAAACCATCAATTGACTGAATGCCAAACTCACAGCAGAGAGGGGATGTGGACGAACACGTGGACGTGAAAAACTGTGTCTGATCATGAAGCCTAATGTTCCTCTGCAGCTCTGTGGTTTATCAGTGAAGTGTCTGAACTCCACTGCAGACTGGAGTCTATTATAAACTATGATGAACCAGTCGTGGGTCACAGTTCTCTCTTCCACTGTTTTTTTAAATTTTGTGTTGTATTGATGTGTGAGTGTTTTCAATTTACTTTCATGATTAGAAAGGCTGCTGTCAGTCATGTTAAAAGTTTCCATGTGCGCATGAAAGTCATGGCAAATGACGTGGGGAATTTAAGCAAAACCAAAAAAATAAAAAAAACTGTAGTTATAAACTATTGACTCTCTGTTGGAGCTAAGGATTGATCACTGTATGAACCTTTACTTCTTTGTGTCCCATACACACTTTATTTCTCTTCTTGCAATAACAATTTAAGGAAAAAAAGATTCTCATTATTCCGACACCACATGAATGCACCATCACTCACTACTCACCCCTCCCTTTACAAGCGTGCAGGAGAAGATATGGTGGCTGACACGCTTTATTGGCTCTGTGCTAAATAACATGTATGGTCCTCAATTTGTCTAAATTTCACTTCTCTTCTTAGTTCTAGTTAACCCGTCAACTACTACTAGTAGTAACATTACTTCTTTTTATTCTTAGTTTTCGTACATATGAGTGGTGACGAAACACACTCTGTAGTGCAGTCTGTCCATTTTGGCTATTGTAGAAACATGGCGACAAAACATGGCGATGTCTTGCTCTATGTAAAAGGACCCGCGGTGTATGTAGATAAAAATGGCGCATTCTAAGGTAATAAAAACATAACGCGACATGCAATACACATCATGAGCCAAAACAAACCAGACTTTATTGACCAAAAAACATTGATTTTACATTTGATTTACTTTTATGAACATACTTTCCAATATATCCTCATTTTATAAATATGTCCTCTCAAGGTCTAAACCTCAAACTGGTCCTCACAAAGACATAGAACAAGAACACAACAAAGGACAAGAACACACACTCACTGTCCCTGAAAAACAGAATCAATAAAACACCATTACCTCTGCTGCGTCTGATTGGCTGCTGTAGGCGATGTGATATTTTGATATCACTGTATGTGATGTCATCTGTGATGTCATCTGGGATGTCATCATCCCCAACTTCTACTTCAGCAGCTGAATGAGCCAAAACGAGCAGAAATTTTAATCAATGAAGACCATGTGATGTAATCAAAAGCTCCACAGCTCACTAAATGGAGCCTGTGGTGAGATTGTTTTATTGCACAGTAATGTTATTTATGAGAATCCTGATGGACGTCTGACTTAAAAGTTCAGTGTGTAAGTTTTACTGGCATCTAGCGGTGAGGTTGTAAAGATAGCCACGGTGGCTAACACAAGACAAAAGATGTCGTCGTCTGAGACAGCGCAGAGTCGTTCAAGAAATTAGGTTTCTTTAGATAGATTGGCTATATAAAGAAATTATATTTACTTAATTATTGAGTAAAACCATATGTTGTTGTGAATATTATTGTTACTTGTTTATCAAACAACAGCAACACCAAGAACTGAAGTGCTACATTTATTGCATAAAACATTATTTTACTGCACTGTAATCATACAATTTGTTAAATCTTGGGAGGGTTCTCTCATTTGGACTAAGAAAAGTATATGAAGAACATCTCAAAAATCACATCTAGTGCAAGTATGACCTTTGGCTACTGACAGATAACAGGAAAATGGTAGCCAAGATTGTGTGACCTTGTCACTGTTTCCGTACCACACAGTCCATTATAAACCACATAATAGATATGAAGTTTACAAAGGCATAGTCAGGTGAGGATCAAGGGTCCTCTCCACTTTGTTCTATTAGTAAACTTGGAAAAGCCAAAATAGATCCTGGAGAATAACGTTACACGAATTTACAATCCAACTACATATTTTACAACATTGACAAGCGAAAGACGTTACTTCTCTCAGTGATTATGTCCCATCACCAAAACTGGCATGCTGCAATAATATGTGACCCACGGCCAGATTATGATGAGCGTATACACAGCAAGAAGAAGAACGTAATGACGAAACACGCTCTGTAGAGACTATTGTCAGTTTGGGCTACTGAAGAAACATGCGGGCGCAAATTGTCAATTTCCATGTGAGGGGACCCGCGGTGTATGTAGACAAAAATGGCTCATCTAAGGTAATAAAAACTTAATGGTTTATTATGTAAGGTCTTTATACACTGAAAACATAGTTCTGTCAATAGATCCTCCTAAATTTTACACACTGGACCTTTAAATTAACAGTTTGTAAATTATTTTTACATCCAGAAGTGTTAATTGAAATGTATCAACACTAAAATGTGACTTTAAATGTGATCTGCAGCACATAGCTGTAAATAAAATGTTAATTTGTTGTCAAAGTCTGTGTCTAACCTTTAGGTTTCCAACGGTTGCATCGTCTCACCAGTAGAACCAGAAGAATCAGTAGAACCAGTAGAACCAGTAGAACCAGCACACAGAAAGATTGAACAGAGAGAGGAGGAGAGGAGGAACCAGGAGGTGAGGTGGGTGAGGAAGAGGTAACGGGAGGAGAGGGGGTGGCTTTCACTAAAATGTACAAAAAACTTTAATTAAGCATTGAAATTAAAATAAATGAATGATACATTCTACAACATGCTAACAGGTTCCTGCATGCTATCGCTCAACCAGCTAGAAGCCTGCCTGTTCCCCAGCATAGACGTGCGTGTTGACCTCCTGACCTGCTCAGCCTGTTGGGTCGACCTCCAGGTTTTCCCCCCGGAACTGTTCAGTCCACCTGTATTGCCCTCTGCCGTTCGCCTCACTCTTCGCATCTGATCCTTTTCCTTTTCACAACCACACTCTGGACTCTGACCCTGACTCTGACTCCAAACACCAAGAGCTTCCTGGGGTGGGGGTTTGGGTTTCTGTCATGATTTTGGGTTTTGGTGTTGTACAGTAGCTGGTCTGTTGGATCATACCACACAGGCCAGCCTTCAAATCCAACATGCATCACTGAGCCTTGGCCATCCATGACCCTGTCGCCAGTTCACAGCTTTTCCTTCCTTGGACCACTTTTGATGTACTGACCACTGCAGACCGTTTTGGAGACGCTCTGACGCAGTCAGCCATCACAGTTAGGCCCTTGTCAAAGTCACTCAAATCCTTGCACTTTCCCATTTTTCCTGCTTCACACTCATCAAATTTGAGCACACAATGTTCATTTGCTGCCAAATATATTCCACCCACTGACAGGTGCTATGGTAACATAATAATCAGTTTTATTTACTTCCCTATGTTATGGCTGATCTATGTATATTGCCTTCTGTTTTGTTCAGTCCTTGTCGGTTCATTATCATTGTTGGTTGGTTTTGTGACGTATTGGATGTCTCTGCTGGATATTGTTTGTTTCACACTCTGCAAATTCTGACTTAGGTTAGGTAGAGTAAAAAAGATCAAATATCAAACGGTGGGTTGAACGTTAAGAAATTTAGTTAGAAATGTCACATTATGAATCATCTCTGCTGTCCTGAAACCTGCTAAAGTCAATGTAGAAAACAAAATGAGATCAGTTTGAGAATTATCTTTGAGCTCCTCACCTGTGACAGAGATCCAGCTGGATGGAGACTCTCCACGACCGCTGATGTCACACTTGTAGAGGCCTTCATCAGACTTTGAAACATGGTGGATGGTCATGTGACCTGTAGGCTCAGTCCTGATGAGGAAGCCATCTTTATAGAAACCAGCTGGGATGTTGGAGGGAGGGGTCTCTGTTTTACAGTGCAGAGTGACATCATGTCCCTCCATCACAGGGAGGACAGGACTCTGCAGGATCACTGGTCCACCTCAACACAGAGACTCAACTCTGAGAGAGTACTCAACTACAGCATTTCATCATTTACACACAGCTTCATCAACACTAACTCCACAGTCTGATCTTACCAGTGACAGTGATGTTGATGGTGTTACTGGTTGCTCCCTCTCTGGACTCACACCAGTAAACTCCACTGTCCGATGGGGTGATGTAGCTGATGTTACAGGAAGAACCAGCTGATCTTCCCCAGTACGATTCACACTGAGACAGCCCTCCTTTACTCGTGTTCCTTCTCAGCGTCCATCCAGCAGAGCTGTCGTCCTCCTCACAACTCAGAGAGACAAACTCTCCTTCAAACAGCTGAGAGCTGCTGGGACTTACAGTCAGAGAGGCTGGAGGAAGAGACAGATAGATGTGGTTAGAGAGCTTTAATTGCATTTTTGAAAATAATTCTTTTCTCCACATTCCCCATATTCCTACTTTCTCACTGTCTACACTTCCTACTGCTGAACTGATCTCAAGCTCAGATATGAGCTGATAAATAAACTCATTGCGCATATTAAGGTTAACGTAAAGGGTGTAGGTTTCATTTTTATGTAAAAGGGAACTCAAAATTCAGGCAGCAGGTGACAATTCAAAATAAAAATTATTAGAGAATATAATACTGTAAGGCTCTCAGGTATTCTGTTTTTCTTTCACATATATTTCACCTTTAGAGCAACTTTCCTCATGTAAGATTATCCCTGCTGAGTCAGCACACATGCAGACATGATTTAGTCTTTCCTCCACCTTTTGTTTCTAAAGAGGGCACTTCTTTAAACAACAGTAGCCGCTGCATTCTGCTGTGCAGTCCTGGTTCTTGAATTACATTTTTAAAGCAGCATTTTCAGCTTTGGCTCCAGTCTGCAACACTGTGGCATCAAAACTGCATTCAGTGTTTTATTGTATTTGTAAAGTAGCTGTTTCCCTCCACAAACACTATCCTAAACACTAACTTTTCTATCAGGGAGTGAATAACTTTTCAACTGTGACAGAAGAAGTTTTCTCACCTTGGTTTGTTGTGCAGCTCAGCAGTGAGGTCAGAACTAAAGAGAAATCAGACCCAGGTTGGTTTTACATACAAGAACAAAACAAGACATCTGTACTTTCTACAACACAGAACAACATGCTTGTAGAGCACAGAAAAACAGCCACATGTTGATATTACTTAATGGAAATAACAAAATATATTTATTTAAGGATGCATTGACACGATGACTAATTTCTTTTTTTAAATCTTTGTTAGGACAGTAGTGAGTAAATGCAGAGGAGCTATTCAAGTGCTGAAAAGAAATACTCCAAAGGGTAAAACAACCAATAAAAGGGCTCCGCAGCTATTTTGATTGCAACGTGTTTCAAGCTTGGTGTTGTGTATGAATGAATGTTTATAAGAATGAAATGATTTGTGGGGTTCCTCAAGGTTCAATTTTAGGGTCTACACTTTTTATCCTCTACATGCTGCCACTTGGAGACGGCATCAGGAGGCACATCATAGATGTCCATTGCTATGCTGACGACACACAGCTTTACATTATTATGTCTTCTGATGACTCATGGCCAATAGATGCTCTTTTTAACTGCATTTTCAATATCAAGTCATGGATGACAGAGAATTAACGAACTAAAGTCTTGATTATTAGTGCTAAAGCTCAGAGAGACAAACTTAACCCCTTGATGCCTGAATTTCTTTACAGTGAAAAAAATTTATTTTCATTACCTTTCAAGCTGATGTTCAATCAAGTGGAAATTGTTAATTTGTTTATAGACCATAGAAAATATATTAATTCAGGTATGATGTAGGTATATAAAACCAGTGCTTGCAAAAGGTTCCCAGGTATATATCAAATATGCACAAAGAGACACTGGGGGAATACATGTGCTATCTCAGCTGCAGTCTGAAAGGAAGAGGTGTGATGCGTATTAGCAAGTATTGGCATTAAACCAATGTCAGCAAGTAATAAACCGAGTTTTGTACCATTAAAAACACAACTAAGAATGCATTTTAGCATCTTAAGGACATTGCCAGTGTTTCTATCTCACTAATGCACTAATGTACGCCTTGATTACCAGCAGGATTGATTACCGTAAAGCTCTATTTTCTGACCAGAAAGAGAGCAAACATTACATCGGTTTTAAACACTCTGCACTCCTTATCTGATTTTAACATACTTTAATTGGTTTACAAAACTCTTAATCTTAGTCTTGGTCCAACCTATTTATCAGATTTGGCCTATGAACTCTCTCGAGTCCTCAGGTCTTCCAGAAGATGTCTTTTAATTATCCCTAGAGTGAGGACAAAACTGTTGAGATTTTTAAAAGACTACTTTAGAGCTAACTTTTCTCTGGCTGTTAATTGAACTTTATTTATCTTATATGTGTGAATTTTAATCAGTTGCATTTCTTTCTAAATCGTTTTATTTATTTATTTATTTTATTCATTTTATTCATAGTCCATACCGCTCACAATCGCCACCCAATGGAGTATAAAGCCATCGCTTGCCAGCACCATCTAGCAGCATCCAATTTCCGGTAATCTTAATATTCTTATAGAGATCTGAGCAAAAGCACCATATATAGCGACCTGTACAAATGCACTTAAAGGGGTACTTTTTAATTATCTCCCAATAAGACTACTTCTAAATGACTTCATTTTATCTGCACATTTAGATATTATGGTTTTAAACACAAACGTGGCTTTAAACTAATGATCATAGCCAAATTATTGAACCCAGGGTCAGTGGTCATGGTGGTGGCCTTGTGAGTGTTTTTAAGAAGAGCTTTATATGTTACAAAGCACCCTGTGATACAATCTTATCCTTTGCTCCTCTCACTTTTAAACTTGTCAGTCTTAATCCAATCATAATCGCTATCTTTCACATGACTTCATGACTCCTTAACTAACCACAAATCAATTTTAACAATTAAGATTAATACCATTTATAAAACTACACACGTGTAGTTGGTGTAAGTTAACACATTATTACAGATATAGTTTCATGTAACTACTTTAAGCAGCCACGTATCAGGTTGACTGTGAAAGACCTGCATGGTGATCACATTGTTCCAACATGGCACAACGGTCCTTCATTTCATTACTTGTTACTTGTGCTTTGTAAAGCATTCAAACTTGAAACAAAAACATGAAAACAACATTATTCAAACCTCAAACATAAACTCTTTGAACCAGTTGATATTTTACACTCCATGTAAAGTAAAAATGTAAAAGTAGATTTTGAAAATTCGAGCCATTGGACATGTAATATACTTCAATATATCATCTAAAAATAAGTTTGATTGTAAGTATAATCATATCTCATCTCTTCATGAATTAATACAACAATGTCTATATTTCTATTCTAAACTGTAGCGCTGTAGGCAACAAGCAGGAAGTGGGTAGAGGAGAGTTTACACACCCAAATATGAACCTAATAAATATCTAACATAAATAAATACAATTTAACTCCCCTCCACTCAATTTCTGCTTGTTGTTACCCTCCTGGAACTATTATGGTAAAACATGTGTGAGTGTCCCGTGAAAACAGATTACAGTTTACGATTACACTTAGCTTAGCACGAGTCTTCTGACATTACAGCCACCAGTTAACAAGTATTAAAACGTTAGTTGCTCGTTCACTTAAGTGAACTTCAATTCACAATGATTTAAAATACCACGTGTTTATTTAACCTGTGGACTAATATATGCAAATCTGTGCATTAATTAGCCTTTTTCATCAGGTAATACTATTTACTATTCACTACATTGAGTAACACCGAGCTGTTGTTAATAAGTGTTTTGGGTTTGGTTTGCAATTAGATAATATTTTTGTATAAAAGTGTCTAAATATTGTATTGTTTGGGTCTAACACGGTTATATGGGGTTCTTAATTGCAGCATAAAATAGAATACATATATGAATAAATAAAATTGGTGTTACGCTGTGTTTAGGGCATAACTGTTTGTTTTCTGTCTACTAAAGAACATATTTCTAGTTTTGGTCTAATTTGACACAAAGTACTGCTTAATACGTTTTATTATAGTATTGTAAAATAAAGACAATTTTTCTTATTTAAAAACAAGTTGTCTTTTGTGTTCAGTGTAAATACAAGGGCTGCACAATATGGTTAAAAAAATAAAATTGCTATTTATTTGACAGATATTTGTGATATTATTCGTGATTAGAGGAAATTATCTTTTTTGCATCACATTTAAAATTTTATACTGAAAAACTGATGATAACAGGGTCTTAACCAAAAAATTGTTTTCTTTTATAGATCTGCAACGATACAGTACATCATTATGAAGCTGTTAAAAAGCCTTAATCAATAAATGGCAGCTTCTGCGATAATGCACTTGGCCATAGAGCAATTTTGATATTGTTTTGATTAACTGTGCTGCCCTAGTAAATATCTTTTTGTTTAAACTTTTTTTGTGATTTTCTTCTATCAGTTTTCTTCTCCTACTTTAAAGTAAAACTAGTAGAAATTATATATTGTCTGTTGATGCCGTTTGGCTAAATTCAGTCTTTGTATTCACGTTATCCACGTGGAGACCAACATTCATACGTTAAGTAGATTCTTACTTACCTAGAAGCCACGGTAAAGATGATCCCTCCATTTTAGATCTTGGTCATCTGAGATCAACACATTAACGTTTAACCAGTCACACAAACTAAAACCCACCTCCTCCTTTTTCCTGTGGCATTGTTGTGGTTTTCTCTCAAGCAGTTAGCAGGAAATGGGCCTGATGTTCCGCGTATTTGTACATAGAGTGTAACAATGGTCTAT